GTTTTTGACCTCATTTTTATGTTGGTTTATATTTGCGTGGCATTATGATACCATGAATGTTAATGTTGCTTTATGACAGCTGACGAAAAACCCTGTCAGACAGTCGTCAGTAGCAGTTTCAAACCTGGTTTTACAGTCAACAACCTTCAATAATTGCTTCTTACCTATCTGTTGAGGATTAGCAGTACACTGGTGCGAGTACTTGAAACGTTGCCAACAAAGCGCCGTTTAAAACTGTTCATTAACAGGAATTCGTCTAGCAAACCAACTCATGACTGGTGTCACTGAATGCTTTCCGTCTGTGCTTGCTTTTATAACTGTACAGAGTGATTTTAATGATCGCTGGCCGTAATTATTAACGCTGGCAGTAAATATCTGTTTCGAAATTATCTGTCAATAATCTTACTCGTTTGGCAGACGGTCTGTTCTCTAACACTGGTTCAGGATGCCCCCCCCCCTCCTCCACCGCATGTGAAAGCTGTCGCTGTCTGTGACTGAGGGTGGAGTCAAGATATCAAAATATTCATTCGTTGTTTCCATGCAGTTTTGGATGTTGAAACCTGGCATCTAAATCTCGCATCGAGAGCGCTACAAAGGTAAGTCAATGCTCTAGCAAGTTCCTCCCTCCTTGAGCCTATTTCTGACAAGTAATTGATCAGCAGATTTTTAAGGATTTCTGCTCTGGTTTGGCTATTACCAAAATCTCTGAAACCTTTATCCAACCCAACCGATTCGGAGAAGTGGAGAATTCTGTGGAATTTTCGCCATAAGCAGGTATCATTGGCGAGTGCCAGGTAACCTCACTTCCAAAAAACAACAGGAACGCGCTCCTGCGTCGTTTCCAAACACATTTCAGCAGGTGCGCGCACTTTATACGAAGATGCAATCCGGCATTCGTGTTCAATTTCTTCAGTGAGTCATTTCTCTGAAAAAGACTGATCAGCATGAGGTTGTTAAGGTTTACAGATTGACAAAGCGCTTTTCAAGAAACGTAAGCATCTGCATATGAACGTATACTAATTAGTACGTTAGATTACTCTATTAAGTGCTGTACGATGAAACTCGTTCCACCAACGCAAATTCATCCTCTACTCAGCACTGGAGAATCTGGTCCGGTTCATCCGCCCGTCTATTTCATCATTCATATCTGCAATAAAGTCTATCGAATGACACGTTTGGCATTGTCTTCTACTGTGTTCCAGAACTTTCCTTCTTGCGTGCTCGACATTGATCATTTTTTCATCACAGATTGATAGACAGACATTTTCGGAGATATTTGCATTAATTAAGATCTTTTGAAAAATGTAACGGTATAAGCGAAAGCTTTAAATTTCTCGTGAAACGATTGGTTCAATATTAGTTTTAATAGCACGAGTACCCGTGTTCAACTGGCTAGCAGTGATAATATGTAAATTTGTATCACTCCGACTACCAATAAGTTGTAAAACCTACTGTTGAATAACTCAGCAGGTCCCTGTGATAGATGATGATCTCGCTGTAGTTCCTCACCAGCACAGCAACGGTATGTGATATTCCAAACCTTGGTGGGATACGGCAGTTTTGCCTGCGTCCACAAGATGTTCCTTCTTACGACGCCATTGACTGGCCACACCGGCTGTCTAACATGCCCAAATTGAAGGATGGTACTTGAGAGGGACTTAAGTAAACTCATAAATGCGACCTCTATAGTACGAATTGGTAGCTATTTCGCAGAGATATCGAACTCACCTGCAAAGCGACCGGTTTCTAGAACTGAGAGTGATGAGATAAACTTTAGTTATATGTCTATCACACAACATACGTATGCGGGGTTACTCACATTTCTTTGCTTTCCGTTATGAGATGATTATTAACATATAGATTTCAGTGTTCATAGCCGCCATAAAATCAAATGCCGATGTATACGAGATAAGGCGCGTAGTTTGTTTCTTATTGGCTGATCAGCTGCGTAACATCTGAATGAACTCCTTAGGACCCTTTATGGATCTGATCATGGTTTCGCTGGGCCTGTTTCAAATGGTATTCAACGGATGGGAGTAATGAACTTTTGAAGTTTACTGAGTGGAGTTTACAAACAGCATCTCACAAAGTCCAGGACAAACGACAGGACCGGCATGTTGAAATTTTAGAAAATGCGAGTAACAAGAAAGTTTGGAATGGTGTCACCAAGTTTTAATGAGGTGTTCAGGCTAAACCTCAAACGTTCAACTTTTCTGTGGAATAACAAACCTCATCTGATGACAGTCGGTAGCAAATTCAGTAGTTTGGTTGTAGTTAAAGCAGATGTTCACGTATTCACACTCGGAAGATCTTTCTCGCCTTGCTTACACATAAAGCCTATTTGTTGCATATTATGCAGCCTGGATTCGAAACAGTGCTGAAAGTGAAAGGCTTAAAGAAAGTGAGTATCATCAAGGAAGAAACTGAATTCTGACTGCCAGTTGGCATGGAAGATAGTTTACCTGATCATCCGCCACTTATGAGAGTGAAAATTAGTTAGCGCCTGAAATTTAAAAATTTTGAATTGAAAACTAACTCGCGAACGGCAGATTATCCATAAACGGTGAGAAGAGACTATGATCTCATAAGTCAAGTATCTGAGGACAATAAGGATTCTCATGAATTCCATTCTGATACATAAATCGTATTGCAATGACAGTGGTTACATAAAAAAATTTGACCATTCATTATAAAGCCCCTTGATTTGCGACGGTAAGCTCTTATAGTATCGTATGTGCCAAATTTCCGTGTGTTCCCGAAAGGCCAGTAAATAAGCAAATTGGGGTTGAGTTTATTTTTACTAAGTAAAGGGATTCAAGCAATTGGCAGGGCTCTTCGTGCTTAATGAAGTTTTCGCCGTTTGCTTTTAAAGCGGATTGCAATAGGTCGTAGAGGACAAGGTCAGCTCAAGGCCAAAGGCTCAGAGCAACTTGGTTTCGTTTAGTGTGAACTCGAATGACCACTAGGCGTCTTCGGGCGTCACGGAACTCATCCTCACATGTAAAGGCGCTTTATGCCTGTTTCGTTGGTCTACTTAAGGTCAGGGAAAAGATGTAGCTGTCAAAACTACTGAGAGGGTTGTAGGAGTTATAAGTGTGCAGTCAAATGCATGTGACATTTGAGGCTCCATATCGCTGCTCATAACACAGCTTTCACGCTGACGCTAACAAGTCTCTTTCTTTTAAGCTGCAGGTTGTTTCTGGCTACGGTGCATACTTTTTTCTTCTCTTGATACATTTCATGAACAGGCTGTCAACAGACGCAAAGCTGTCCTACAGAGCGTAACAGAAAACTACATCCATTCATTACCGAGATCTGTCTGATGTTTCCGGAGGATGTTCCCATATTCGCCTTCTTGTGTGCAGATATGCCGGGAGTGCTTTGTATGCTTGCTGTTTCATGCAGTAATTTCACCAGTTTTGACAAACGCGTACTCTACAGATTGGTTTGCTGCTACTACATATATGATCCAATGTTCCCAGCTGACAGTGGCAATGGCATGGAAATAGAAAATCTAACGCCATGCATTCGTGAACTAATCCAGTCCTCGTTCGTTAATGGAGGAGGAAAGCATTAGCAGTTTCGCAAAGCTTGCATAGTCATATCGTCAGAGATGCAACTCCTGTCGTGGTCATTTTCCTGCATACGAAACACGAGAATGCTACCTCAGACCGAAGCGAAAAAAATGAAGTTTTTTTAAACTAAATTTTAGTGAAGCACCGCTGCAATCACACAGTAACGTAATCACGATGCAGGGTGAAAGATCCATAGGGTCCTACTATAATAGGGACATACCGTAGGCTACATCGTATGACAAAATCACTGCGTCTATGGTTAGTCTTTGAAATGGATTCGTGAGCAATCTTCCTGCCCTCTCACTTTCAGAGCTATTCAAATAGTGCTTATAGTACACGTCAGTAGAGCACTGCTCAACCATTTCTGTGCCGACATTGTTTCTGTCGTACGCCAAGCGGATGCAACGAATCGATCATTGTCGCCTCGAGGTGAAGGAAGGTTTTAAGACCGGCATGCGGTAGACACATATGAACATTGCTGCCGTAAGTTTGCAGTGAATTTTTTTTTCGCCTGCGTCCTCTCGGTGAGGAATAACGTCAGGTGTGTCCATGGTTACCAGAGAACCGGCAGTGACCACGGACAAGATTCCATAATTGACGTTTTTCTCAGAGGTACCGCTACACCTTGTTTGTGTAGTTCTGAGGTCGATTAGTCTTAATTTCAGCCTCAAACGCATTACCACCTTGAACTTGCTGCAAAGTCGTAAAAAATTCCATCACCGTATTGATGCACAGGTTCAGACTTACGCAGCACTTTCAGGAGAGACTTTCATGTCATCAGAAATGATATAATACGAGATTTTCTACCCTCTTCTACCGAAAAATCATCGACAGATTTCTTCAGCACACGTTACAACACTAGATTATCTTTATTGGCAAAAATGTACATTTTATTAAGCATATGACATCGCCATCTTTCAGCATTCTTCTCAACGCCCTCCCCCTCGCCCAATTCTGTTAGAAACTAATGATTTATTGAATAAGCTGGACGTATGTGCCTTTTGGAGAAGGATTGCGACACAGAAGCTGAGAATCGTCATGTATAATAAATGGAGCAATTATAGTCAAAGATACCGCAAATCAACCTTCTCGACAATAATCATGACAGCGTTCGTATCATAACTGTATG